TTTAAATCAGCTTTTGTGTTCTACCCTCGATCGCATATTGCCATCAGTAAGTGTTTGTTTTGTACAAAAGAGAAGTCAGAAATATTATACAAACCAATGAAGGCACTTGATACCTTACAGTCAATAAGTTTAGCTCATTAAAAATTATAAAACATACAGTTGTGGAACTCTAGGAAATTCGATAGAGAAATTATGGTAGACCTAATTTATTTGAGTTATTATGGTGGATATTTCACAAATATTTATATTTCTGAGGTTCAATCGACTGATTTTAAAACAGTGTTACTTGTTATCAAATTTGAAGCTAACTGCTTATGCTTCATCCTTTTCCCAACAACCCCGTAGAATAACGCTGCATTTTTTCCTCTAAAAACGAACATAACTTGCTATTTCATTTCCTAAACATATCTTCGATCGTCTCAATGTATTACACTTTGTTTTCTTTGGAATGAAGTTCAGTGTACTTATTGCGCTCTGTGCTAGCTGGATTCGTTCTAACACAGTGTTTCTTAGGTTGGCCGAAGAACCGGCAACTGAGTAGTTCGTCGAGAGTTGCAATTGGATAAAGCTTTCTATTAAAGATGCATCGAGTACAATGTAGTGCGATGCCTGTATATATTGGCTCATTTGACCTATGGTCTTGATTCAAAATTCCACCGGTACAAGTCCTTCTCCACTCAGCACGTGTGACTGCGTCCGAATAAACCTTGTTCCGGAAAACACCGAATACAAACAAATACAAACAAACAATTTTAATGGATTTGAATAAAAGTTTCAGTACCGTAAATAAACTTCTGTTAGATATCTTCCATTTGGCGTTTGCATAAATAGCAAGACAGTTAAACAGACCTAAATTACCGTCAGCTTATGAGGAGAAAGGGTATATCACAAGTAATATGTTGACTATAGGCTGAAAATTTGTGACAAGTAACGTTGTCAAAGCAGTTGTGCATGTTCAGAATGGGAAAGCATGAAAAAATCAAACACTATGTGCTAGACTGTGGATGGGAATTAGAAAAAAAAAGAAAATATTTCTTCTGTTTCTAATAGCAAGGGAAAACACACCGGCGATCGTGTCATATTCGGATGAAATCTGAATTTCACTGTTCAGATTGCTATACCGTCGACTGTGTTGTAGAACTGCATGTATAAATTTGATACACAAGCATTTCTACAATAACCCTGAATGCAGCTTCAGGATCAATCTTGCCTTTTGAGGGTCAGATATTGCACAACTGATTTATTGCTTGTCCTAACAGTGTTCTTATTGAGTAAGAAAGAGGGCAGGCAGTTAACTTATATCAGTTTTCCAGTTCGTTGTCACGGTATCAATCATAACACGCATACATACACACACTTGTTCATCCTGGTTCCAGGCTAAGAAATGTCGTAGTCGAGTCTATTCTTGTCATGGTAAACAGCAAGGTATGTTTTATTCCCATTGTGTTGGTCACACTCCTTGGGAGTTCCTTAATTTCCCATTCATTTGATGAAGTCGCGTGTATTGGTTGAAAAACCTCCCTGGTTGCTAACCTAAACTAGTAAATACCTGAAGCAATAGATCACAAAGAATGTTCTTCATTCAAGGTGAGTATGGCCTTATTTCATTAATTAGATCTTGGTAATTCTCTTAGTTTATTGAGGACTCTAAATCGCAACCTCTTTGTAGCCATTTGCACTAGAATCACTCTCTTTGGCGTTAACAGAGACATTGTGCATATCAAGAATTCAGTTTATACGTTTTTCCTTTTATTGCATTCCTGTACTCAGCCACCCGAGCGTGCTGGAGAGCAACGTGAGCATTTTGGATTCAAGTTTCTTTATCCCGCTGGTAACCCCTTTAATCGTCTTATCTGCCTCCCAAGTATTACTCATAAGCACCGTGTTTCGTGGTGATGAAGGACATTCTCAAATGTACCACTGAAATCTAGTTCTATTATTCAGAATTTGGGACTGTTTAAATCTCGACTCAATTGTGATTTGCTAGTAGTGAAGGATTTGTTTTCGATGATATGGTGAACTTGATCCTTTACAGAGCAAATGAAGTGTAAATTGAAATGTTATGGAGCACGTGACAGCTGTTTCGACCTGGTCAGATCTCATCAGCCGTGCTGATCCATTGACGCAACTGAGGATCAAACCAGTGATCACAAAGGTACAAGGCAAACCAGTGGTGAATCGAAGCGTACAATAACAGAGGGATTGTAATCACACTTGTCACCGTGATGTACCTAACTCTTGCTGAACTATATTCCTCTCGTATGACAACGGGTGAATTTTGAAGCAACATGTTTCGTCAGAACCAGCTAACGCTACCGTTACAGCTTATCTCATACTGGTACATACCATCCCTACACGGATGACAATGACTAAGCGGTATTGGTCATAAGGGTTTCATCTGGAACATCATGCATTTTAATCTCTTCACAATCACGAAACTTCACCACCATTTTCCGGATCCCATGTCAGCTCTTTGAATGCCCGCTTCCTCGTTCAAGGGAACTAATTTGGTTGTTGACTATCCAGGAGCAACAAGTGGTTAACATAAGCAACAAACCAGGGTGATAATCTTCAAGAGAAGTGCAGAAATATTATGCAACAAGTGATTCCGTGGAACACTCTTTTAAATGACCATCCTCCATTCAGAGTTTTTCAAGGACCCGAAAGGCCTACAACTAAATGGTGTCAACTGATTATTCATGCTTCTCTCTTATATCATTAGAATTCACAGAAATAAGGGTTTCATATCGATCTCACTATGTGGATCGTCAATAGCAAAAGCGGTTGTTAGTGCCTCACTGGTTTCGTGCATCTTTTGGTGACGAAATTTATAAAACAAATCACACACGTGTGAATTCATGTGGGCAAAACTGTGTACATGTTACCTTTTCTGAATTAGATGTATGCTTAGATTGTTCAGAGCCGTTATCGGATAAGGGTTGCTATTCGAACCCCAAAGATTTGTATTTGTAGTCCCAGTAGCAATGAGAAATTTTCACGTACTACAGACAAGTCAGAACCACGAGAAAACAGTTTTTCGGACAAGTTTGATGATCATTACAGATGAAATCGTCAAAAATCAATGCTCATTACTCATTGAGGGTATGTGCTCCATAATTTGACGAAGAGTGAAGACGTGGTCGATACAAACTCGACCAAGTCTAAAACCAGCCTGGTTCTCACGTGTACACTCTTCACCAGCCTCAGACAATCGACGGAGAATGATGCCGGCGAGAAGTTTAGAGACGTTGTTGATTAAACTAATTCCCCTGTGCTTTTCACAAGAGGACTTGTCGCCTTTCTTGCAAATCGGTATGATCACCGATTCACACCAATCGGTTGGAACCTGTTTCCTTCCCCACACAGAGGCCCGGAGTTCTGTTAACTCCAAACCATGTCTAAGCCTTCATCCTTAAAACCCGATGGGGACATCCCGTCTTGGCCGAAAGCCTTGTATCATTTGAGATCCACAATTTCCATCTTCCTTGACCTGAAAGCGGCTTTCAACTCGGTCAACCGCTCTAAACACTGACGCTGCCTCTCTCTGATTGGTGTGCCCGAGAAGTTTATTTCACTATCACAATCCTCTATAATAATAGTCGAAGCCGAGTCCCAGCTTACGGCACTTTTTCACTCGAGTTCACTACCGAAAATGGTGTTCCACAGGGTTGCCCTATCTCCGTTTCTATTTAACTTTGTTATAGTTATAATTCTTGAAACAGCCCTATCCTCGTGCGGAGTTAGCGGCAGCGATTTGCTCCTACGGAGCAGACTGTCTGATCTAGTGTATGCAGACGACATTGCGGTACTAAGTGAAGATCCAGGTAAGTTGCAAGTTTTTTTGGAAAGTTTGAGTGCTAGCGTAATCATGCTCGGTATGCGTTTTGCACCTCCAAATTATAAAATGTTGCTCCAAGTTTGGGTTGGTCCAGCACGCAGTCACACCCTGACTAAGGAATTAGTAGAAAAAGTGGAAACGTTTTACTATCTGGGCAGCTATATCTCACCTGGCGGACATATCACAGATGAAAGGTCGGCGGGCATACAAAATACTCGATTTACATTTGCAAACTTGAGACGCCTATGGCACCGTCTTGACATCCGGCTGTCTGTGAAGGTTCGATTATATGCTGCAGCAGTTCGGCCAGTGCTACTCTACGGTGCAGAGACTTGGCCTCTACGGGAACAGGATAACAATAGATTGTCAGTGTTCGAACACCGCTGTCTACGTAGCATTGTACCGGAAACCGGACGAGCAATGCCGACGTGAGGTGTAGAGTTTCAGGTAATGAAGGTCATCCACTGGATCAAGTGGTCGACTTTCATAGATTACGCTGGTCGGGACATGTGCTACGCATGTCACCAGATAGGTTGCAAAGGCGAGCGATGTTTGCCGCTGCAGGTAGCGGTTGGAAAAAGGTCAAGGGCGGTCAAACTAAGACCTGGTATGAGGGTATGAACACCCTCACCAGACTAGGTCACATAGATCCCGTTAGGCTCCCTGGCTGGGGACCCTGATATCATGTTCACCGATGGTTAGAGACACTGAGCAAAATAGCTGGGTGTCGCAAATAGTGGTGCTTGTGCATCTACTCATTATTCCTGTAACTTCAGTCTATGTAAATTCACCATCTTCCGCTTGAATCTGCTGCCACAATTATAATCATCATTCTGCTGTTTTATCCAAATGGGCAACCAAAAGACAGCAACCAAAACCGGTGCACGAAAGTGTATGGTTAACAGTTGTAAGAACAGAACTGAACTGAACGTTATGCATTGAAATAGATAAACGAAAAAATTCAACTCCTCTGTTCCCCGTTCATACCAAATGAGATAAACTGATTTTAGTTCACTGTAAAATTGCATGTGTTCAGCTTCTTAAATCTCGAAAGGTTTTGCCTCATACTCAATCTTCTACAGTGTTCCTAATATGAACTACTCATCGTCCGAAAGAAATATCGAATCAATGAATTGACGATTACAAGAATTCAATTTTGGTCTCATTGACTTACATCGGCCTGTTTTCGATTCAATTTGTTAAACCACACTGGCAGCGTACCCACTACGGACACTTTAGCTGCGGTTTCTGTTGCAGCAATATCTTGAGACGGTTTCCGAGTCGATGAACCGGAATCGTCACTACCTTGTTCCTCGAGTAGATAGGGCCCCAGTGCATTGCAGGAGAGAGAACGTTTTCGCATTGGCAGATTCATGTGGTATAGAATGGAGTGAATGAATTCACAGCACCATGCGATCATTAGCGTGGCACTTTCTACCAAAGTCCAGCATAGTTTGGGAGAGCTGGTCGGCTATTTATACAGGCCAATATGCATATATAATTCCGCACAATATACTGTATTTACAAATTCAGACAATCGTAGATCCAACGTCTGGTTTCTTTCGAGTCCAATGTCTGGTCACTACTCGGTGAGCAAAAGACTAAACAGTTT